CAAGCATAGGACACTGTGTCTTTGTTTCATGTGGTAAACAGGTAAGCTATTTGTGGCATGTTTTTCATTATGATTTTGATATTTTGTTGATAGGTTTTTATATTATTATGAAATTGTCATTTGAACACGATATTGCAGACAGACAGACAGTTAATTCAGCATTTTAGGCCAAACGACCCATAGTACAGTTACATATTGTCAAAGTTTACATACTTATCACGTTTTACATCTATATATAAACACATTTTTCGGAAAACGAGCAACAGAGGTAATAACATCTTCATTCTTAGAATTTAAAAAAATTATCATAAAATGTTGATCCTTATACCTGTACATAAGTTTGGAAGATATTTATTTCGCAGGTCTCGATAATGCTTACACACAGATAACACATGATATTTATCTTCGACCTGGTTTCTATTACATTTTACACATACAATTTCACTTGGATTTAAATTGTTATATTTACGCTCAGAGTTTACATTGAAATCATGCAAGGAGATTCTGAATTTACAGAAAGCTCTTCTCAAAGATTTGTCATGTAATACAGTTAAATGTTACACGGGTATTACATTCTGGCATGGACAGAACTGGTCTGTAACAAGGAATGAAGGTGTTGAAAATGCAGATGATACCTGTAGAATCACCTACAGCGTCTGTATGTATATGGATGTATGTATATAACAATAATGATATTACTAAATGATAAGCATTTGCTGCCGAGGATGTGCATATAAAGTTCTTGGAAATCAGATGAACTGTTTTGCATGTCGTCAGCCGGGTCTTGGTCAGTGCTTGGTCTCCCCAAAATATAACTGGAAGTTTTAAGTGGATAATAATAATATTTGGAGTTTAAGATATATAGCCCCAGGACAACCTATATTCATTGTTGAATTCATGTATTGGTAGACACCAGTGAGTAATATAATTCAAGCCGGCTGGATATTGCTTCATTTATTGATGTTCAGTCTATGGTGTACCAGGAATACTTTCTTCAGTTTTCCATTCACAGAATTTCCACAAATATTTGGACTTCATAACTGTAGTATTTAATTGTTTGTGACTGAGATTGCACCCATCCATACACTGTGACTGTGAAAGGGACAAGCATTTTAAGTATACAGCAATGTCTATTCGCATATACCAATCATCTATAAATACTCAAGAACAAACTTTGTAAAGAATAAAGGCCCCTATGATCTTATCCTAAATGCGTAGATCGATGCTCATGTTGTTGATCACTGGATTGCCTGGTCCAGACTCGTATATTTACAGACAGACATATAGCTTGAACATTGTTAAGTGCGGCGTCACTCACTCACTCACTATGAAGAACAACAGTCTCGGAGTGTGTGGCTCTCGCACTATGACAGGGATGTCTACATTTTACCCCGGTATAACCAGGGAAGGTAGCCTGCTGGTTAAAGGTTCGCTCGTCCAGCCGAAGACCCGGGTTCGATTCCCCATATGGGTACAATGTGAGAAGCCCTTTTCTGGTGTCCCCCGCCGTGGTATTGCTGGAATATACAACCAAACCTAACTCACCCACTAATCTCCCTTCTCTAGCTGATCGTGTGTTTGCCGGGAAAACGGAAGGTCTTTGTCCCATCCCAAAGACACGCCAAACCAAAAACGCGTAACAAAATGTAGTCATTATTAACAAAAACTTGTCGCATCTGAGTTAGCGTACTGAATCTAAGGGGGCTTTCATGTTAAACTTCAGAATTGTAACCTTTAAGATTTCGTAATAACCAGTGCGTCTGGTCTTAACTGCACGTGCGTCGTTCACTTAAACACTGATCAAGGTGCAGCACCCACTGTACATTCAGGGCTCTGCACACGTCACTACATACGTGCACTTGATCGTGACGTTAACTGAAGTAAAACGTTACGTTTGCGTAAACCCAGGTGAGTGAGTGAGTTTAGTTTTACGCCGCTTTTAGCAATATTCCAGCACTGTCACGGCGGGGTACACTAGAAAAGGACACCACACATTGTATCCATGTGGAGAATCGAACCCGGGCCTTCGACTGACGAGTAAACGCTTTAACCACTAAGCTACCCCACAGCCCCCATGACAGCAAACACGTTTGAGAACGTTTGATTCCCCACATGGGTACAATGTGTGAAGCCCATTTCTTGGGGTCCCCTGCTGTGATGTTGCTGGAATATTGCTAAAAGTGGCGTAAAACCATACTCACTGACTGTGTATCTAAACACATCGCCCTTTCATACTGTGACTACACGTATACGAGCTGTCTGTTTGTGGACGACCCAGAGATGCAGAGGTTCACAAATTCACTCTCTCTCTCTCTCTCTCTCACACACACACACACACACACACACACACACACACACACATATTTTGCAAGAAGCATGCATACATTTGAAACTTTCACAAAGGTCTAATGACATCCGATGTATTCTATGCACCAAAATAGATTTCCAAACAACCTGGATATTGAATACTGTCATTGAACCGTTACTGAGAACAACACCCGTATGTAACCTTGCCCTTTTAGTCCCTGGAAATGCCATGACTTCTTTTCCTGGAATTTGAATTTATAATAAGTAGTATTGATCCGGGGTTGTGTTGGTCGCTGCTAAGAGTCTTGGTTGCACAGTAGCAGAGATGTTGACGATATACCCGACAGGGCTACGAAAAGCATAGAACACTGTGTCTTTGTTTCATGTGGTAAACAGGTAAGATATTTAGCTGTTATTACTGTTAGGATATTTTGTTCATAGGTTCTTATGATTATTATTAAATTGTACTTTGAACAGGGATATTACGTTCTGACATGGAAGGAAATGGCCTGTGCTAAAAAAATGAAGGTGTTGAAATTTCAGATGATACCTGTAGAATCGCCTACAGTGTTTGTATGGATAAGGTAACAAACAATGAACAGAATTAAATACTAAACATCTCCTGCCGAGGATATGCATGTAAAGTTCTTTGAAACTAATAAACCTGTCTTGCATGTCGTCTGCCGGGTCTCGCCAAAATATTACTGAAAGTTTTAAGTGGGTATGATAAATATTTGGAGTTTAATGTTTCTGTCCAAGGTGAATGAGGACACTTGTGTGTAGCTTTGACCTTTTGTTTCGTGGACATGCCATGATTTCTTTTCCTGGAATTTGTCATGAGATCGGTGGTATTGTTTTGGTCGTGGCTGTGAGTCGTGACTGCACAGTACAACCTAGAAGTGATTGTTTTCTTATTGTATAATATACTGTCAAGTGTCTAAGAATGTTACTCCCTGTGAAATTTCTCAATGTATCTGTCCGCGGTGAATGAGGACACTTGTATGTCACTTTGACCTTTTGTTTCGTGGAAATGCCATGATTTCTTTTCCTGGAATTTGAAACATGTCATGTTATCGGTGCTATTGGTTTGGTCGTGGCTGTGAATCGTGACAGATATACTCAGTGCACAAGGATTTTATTGTATACATACTTTCAATTGTCCAGGAATGTTACTCCCTCAGTAATTTCAAACTTCTTAATGTATCTGTCCAAGGTGAATGAAAACACCTGTCAGCATCTGGTGTGGAAGATGTGCATGTAAAGTTCTTGGAAATCAAATGAATTCCCTTTGATGTCCAGTTCATTGTTTGGTCTCCCCCAAAATATGACTGAACGTGTTCAGTGAATAAGAATAATGTTCGTAGTTTAAGATACGTAGATCAAAGACAATCTTTGTTCCCTGTTGAATTTATGTCTTGGCTGACACCAGTGAGTGAAATAATTAAAGCCGACTGGATATTGCTTCATTTATTGATGTTCTGTCTATGATGTTACCCGATTACCTTCTTCAGTTTTCCATTCACATAATTTCCTCAAATATTTGGAGTTTTAAGCCCAATTTGACCCACCCCGAGTAATTTCAAAATTCCTAATGTATCTGTGAATTAGGCAGGAAATAGAAATGTCATAGACAGACATCAATTTACACAGTGAAGCTTAGTGTAGTTTAGCCTTTCAGTATTCCAGCAATATAGTCTGTAAGTAACCAGACAATCCAGTGACTGACATCATGTGCTTCAAGCTACACAGTTGGGATATGACGACATGCATCAACCAAGTCAGAGAGCCTGACAACCAAATCCTGTTATTTCCCTCTTAAGTCAAGCATGGATTACTGAAGACCGGATCTTCACTAGTCATGTTTGCAAGGACAAGCTAAAGACCAATTCTAACTATTTAGGATCTTCACGGATCATCAAGTCACATCTTATGACAAGCATAGACTACTATGGACTCATTCTAACGTGCAATATCTATGGTAAAGATGGCAACCTGTTTGTGTTTTTGTCCTTTTATGCAGATTTTATCAAGAGATAGTTTGATGGTATTTTTTCTGACTTCACTAATGAAAGTTAAAGTTGTTGGTTATTGAGATTGTTTAACCGCTTTAATTTCAGAGACAAGGCGCGGGGTCTTGGTAGCACCGTGGTGAGCTATCCACAACTAGTAAGGTAATCATGAGTCAAGGTAGGTCGAGGTTACACAATCCAAATGTATCCCCATAGTCATCTGTAGTAATATCATATTTGTTTTCAAAATAACTAAGAACTCAGCAGCTATTGCATGTATACGTGGGCATCGTCTGGCCTTTCAGCAGCAATAAAAAACAAAATGACCAGCTTAACCAGTTCCTTTTCTGAGTACAGGAACTTAAACACTCCAACCTAAGTTCCACGCCAAATGTCACAAAGTACCACAAAGTAAAATATATCTTACAAAATATGTATAGTCACATATGTTCTATGTTACACATGTCACTATGTTCAAATATACCTGTAGTTACATTCTGCATACGTTCTGTTAAAGAATACCAATCTTCCTTCGCATGTGGAGGAGGCACAACAGCACCTGTAATTCTGTACCCTTCGAGACAAAATGGTCATTGACCATCAATGTGTCATTCATTGTCATCAATAATTAATATTTTAGATTCTGAGTCTGATGATGATGGGTATATGTGCATGGAGCTGCCCACCCTCATCAAGCAGCTCAAGTCTGTGCTGGACCAATACCCTGATGATGGACAGATACTCAAGGTAAATCTATGCTGGACCAGTACCCTAATGATGGACAGATACTCAAGGTAAATCTATGCTGGACCAGTGCCCTAATGATGGACAGATACTCAAGGTAATCTGTGCTGGACCAGTACCCTGATGACGGACAGATACTCAAGGTAAATCTATGCTGGACCAGTACCCTGATGATGGACAGATACTCAAGGTAAATCTATGCTGGACCAATACCCTAATGGTGGACAGACACTCAAGGTAATCTCTGCTGGACCAATACCCTAATGATGGACAGATACCCAAGGTAAGTCTGTGCTGGACCAATACCCTGATTAATGACAGATACTCAAGGTAAATCTATGCCTGACCAGTACCCTGGTGAAGGACAGATACTGAAGGCAAATCTATGCCTGACCAATACCCTGATGGTGGACCGATACTCAAGTTAGGTCTGTGCTGGACCAATACCCTGATGATGGACAGATGCTCCAGTTAGGTCTGTGCTGGACCAATACTGTGATGGTGGACAGATACTCAAGGACTAATACCCTCGTGATGAAAAGACACTCACGTTAAATCTGTGCTGGACCAATACCCTGATGATGGACAGACACTGAAAGTGAGTTTACAGGTTCATGTGACTTGTTATTGTCAAATTTTGTCACAATTTAGAAGCAAATTTCCCCCTCAATGTATAACTGTCCCTATGACAACAGTATAGAGTTTGACATTTTCATTTTTATCAGGAGTTGATCCAGAATGCAGAAGATGCTGAGGCCAGTGAGATACGAATACTGTATGATGACAGACATATAGACCCCGATCCAAGACTACTAAAGAAGAAACATTACCTAGCCTCACTACAGGTGAATTTACTTCACTATGTGTCCTGACAGTGTAAGACTAAATGTGTAGGGCAGCTCTTATCGTATCTTTGTGTATACACCTATTGACCATCGAAAACCTAACTGGGTGAAGTTCAAGGATACAAAAATAGTGTTTGTTTTCTGTTTTCAAAGCAAACCTTCCCATTAAAGTATAGAAATGAAAAACTTTAGAATATGACAGAACCCAATTAACGCCTTAAAAATATATTCAGTTTGGATGAACCCTGCCAAAGGGCAAACTGACATGAATGCCTTGTTGACAAGTAATGTATTGAGCATTGTTTCAGGCCCCAGGTCTGTGTGTGTACAATGATGCATTGTTCACCAAGAAGGATTGGAAGGGAATCAAGATGCTACATGACAGTGTCAAGGAGGAGGAAGTCCTTAAGGTTGGACGGTTTGGACTTGGATTCAAATCTGTATTCCATGTCACTGGTAAGACATTGGGGATTGTTTTCTAGATAAACTAAGTTACATCACATATGATTAGCTGTATCAGAAGATGAAATATACACACCATGTTGGGATTCAGATTTTGGAAGTTTCTTTCCATAAAATGTATGTCACTTGGAGCACTGGACAAGTATGAACATGAACATTATGTACTAATTAAACTTATTCCTTTTCACAAACTGAAATGTTTCCTTTCCAGACTTCCCAAGTGTCATAAGTGGGGACACTGTGTTGTTCATCAACCCACAAGAGAAGCATGGTGACCGAGTCTGCTACATGAAGAAACTGCGTGAACTTCCCAGTGGGATAAAGAACATGATCCTCAACATCTTCAGTGGCATCTTTGGCTTTACATCAGACACAACAGACACAGGTCATTATCCTGGAACCATTTTCTGGTTCCCCCTCAGAACCAACATCTCGAAGCTGTCCGACAACATTTACACTGAGAAGAAAGTCATGGATCTGTTCCAGGCTTTTAAGGCTGAGGCATCCATAACTCTCTTATTTCTGAAGTCAATAGAGAAGATACAGTTGTGCAGGAGACTGGAGGGAAAGACAGAAATCCAGTTCTCATTGCAGCTGTCTCAAGACTGTCTCCAGCATGTTAGAGCTGAGAAGAAAGACTTCATGAGGAAAGTGAAGGAGGTACAAGGAGAAATACCAACATCATCTTTACAGAGCGAGTTGATCGTAACTGTGGAAACACAGGATGTTGCAGAGACTAAATTGTCTAAATTGTCATCACAGAACTGGATTGTCATCAACTTCTACAAAGGAGGAAGTATGACTGAAAGCTTCCGAGATCTTTGCCATGACACAAGTCTTTCCTACTCCCCCTTTGTGGGTCTGGCTGTTCCTTTGGGTCAACAGTGTGAAGGTCACGTGTTCTGCTTCCTCCCACTTCCTCTGCAGAGGAACAGCCCCACAGGTCTGCAGGTTCATGTCAATGGCTTCTTTGCTTTGAATCAGAACCGGAGACACGTCAAGTGGCCAACAGCAGATCAGCTTCAAAATCAGGCTCACACAGACAAGGCTATGGAATGGAATAAGTGTCTTGTGAGTGAAGTTCTGCCAGAGGTTTATCGTAGCTTGATAGATAGCCTTCTTAGATGCTGCTATTCATATGATAACTCAATTACCATCATTCAACAAGTCTACAGAACAATTCCAGATGTTGATGATATTGATGTGCATTGGAAGCCTCTTGTTTCAACAATTCTGGCACAGCTTCACAATATCCCGTTCCTGTTCACACCGTCTGACCAGAAGAAAGGGGTCAAGATGAAGGATGCTTATCTAGTGGATGTAACCAATGATGCTTATTCATTAATCACTGAAATATTTACTTTGTATCACAGGTACATTGTCCCAGTACCTCCAAAACTAATGCGAACTTTAGAAAAACATTTCAGCTCACACATACACAAAGCTACACCTAAAGATGTGTGTGACACACTTAGAGTGGATAACCGTTTTACAACATTACCAAGACAGAAGAAACTCATGCTGCTGAAATATCTCCTGGAATCGGATGAGTACAAGCACCTGGACAGTCTGTGTCTTCTGCCAGTGGCTGACGGTAACTTTGTGGATTTTGGAGCACATGCAGCTGTGTTCATTTGCTACCCGCAAGAGGATGCCAAACTCTTCCCAGGACTTGAAAGTCAGTTGGTCTCGCTGGACCTTCCTGAGGAATTACAACAAGCTCTGCGGAAACGGGCTTCTGCTGGTACGTTGCTTTTATCACATTGATACAACCAGTTACTGGGGGTATGATAGCAAAGCTTCTAAGCAACACAAAGAATGAATTGTTAATCCCAACAACTACCTTTTTTCAAAAGATAAGGTGAAGATTAAATGACAATATTTTTTCAGGCAATACTAAATATCTAACTAGTACACAAGCAAACAACAGTGACCAAGACATTAATGGAAATTCATGAGGTCAGCGGTCCAAGCCCAAATGACTAGGATACATGTTTCTCGTTGCAGATTTAAGGTCACTCAAACCGTTCTTTCATTTTTGCATGTAACATGCTGTCTCGTGTCCTATGGAACCTCTGGTTTTGTTTCTGTTTGTTTGTTATTGCCACAATATTACTCTTGGAGCCTACAAATAAACCCTACCATATGTGTCAATGAGCAAACATCATCACTGAAAGTTTGAATTAATTGAGTTGGTCTTTATTTTCTCGATGGAACAAACTTTGACTTTGATTTGACCTTTGTACTTTTCGATGCTCCTTATGCAATTCCTTACAACATTTCCAGGAATCACTTAAGAAGCTGAAACTTCCAAATGCACTAATATTGTATCAAACATACATGCTTGGTATTTGCCTTGTTGGTAACAGGACTCGACATGTTTATTCGGCTCTTTTCTAGTGTTTCTAGTTTGACCTTTGTACTTTTGCATGTCCAAAATGCAATCCCTTGCATTGTAGACCTGTGGAGATCCGGGTTAGAATTGATCTTCAGTAACCCATGCTTGTCGTAAGAGGCGACTGACGGGACTGGGAGGTCAGACTCGCTGACTTGGTTGACATATGTCATCAAAGATCTTTTGCAAGCATGTTTGTTCTTAGCAGATTCAAGTCAATTCAATACAAGCAAACTGTGTTTTATTGCTATAGATTGACTGCCATAAATATGAAGTGTCTGGATCCAGAGCTCCGTATAATGCTGTCACAACATTAAAGTGTTCATCTACAAACTTCAATATACATATACATTTCTGACAAGGTAGATAGTTTGAAAAAGCTGAAAATTCTTATACAAATGTAGTTAATTTACAAAACAAGATTTTTAAGAACCCTTTTGATGTAAAGTGATTGTTTGAAGGAACCAACAAAACAATTGTGAAATTCGAATACAAACTTAATCATGTTTCTGAATATTGCAGAAATGCTGTACATTAATATTATTAAACATATAGTAATTCCTAGCCCCAAATATCAGTAAATATATTAACAACATTTGTAAACCATCTGCTCTTTGAACAAACCACTCCCACATGTCAAGCAGGTGGCTTCTAAAATAAAGCTGTCCATTGTCCAGCAGTTATCCCCCTTTGTTTCACACTAAGACAGAACACATACATACAAAACAAATAGTGTTGATAGTACAGATAACATCAACATTGTTCAATTGTCCTTGTTCTTTATTTGTGATAACATTGATTTCATTTGACTAATAATGCTAAATGTTTTCTTTTCAGGATGGCAATGTCTTTCTGTGATGTCATCTGATGCCTTCCCCAATCTGCTCCGGGAATGTCTGTTGAGGCATTTCCCAGAAGGTAATGCTGAACTGCCTTCTCCATCCCTTGATGTCAACTGGCTAAGGCAAGTGTGGATCTATATCACAGCCCATGGGATTGATGTTGAAAAATATTTCAGTGGTTTTCCCATCATGCCAGACATTGATGGCTGTGGCAGAGGAAAACTACTCCGCATTGATGAGGTCTTCATAGCTCAGTCCGTCAGGCACTCTGAGTCACTCCCACAGAATGTTGGTGCAGCACTGCAGAAACTAGGCATTATACATTTGATGTATGTCCCTGATTTTGTCCTCAACAATCCTCATGTTCTTGGGACAATTATTCAGTATTCGACACCAGTGGGTGTTGTAAGAGCATTAGAGACAGTATACGCCAGAAAACGTAACACAGTTGTACAACTGTTCAATGCTGAATCCTCCAAAGAGGAAAGGTCTGCTTTGGTGACATATCTGAGCTCCTGCCAGTTGAACGATGGAACTAAAGCTGTGTTGAGGAAGTTAAAGCTATTTACTGCAACAGACAACAGTGATTGCTCAGTGGAAACCTTGTATACTCTAGCCCCTGATGAACAAATACCAGTATCCTACCCTGAGAGGTACATCCAGTGTTCATCTCTTGCAGTCAGACCCCTGGCACTGACGCTCGGGGCAACTGCAACCCCGTTTCTTCATGTTTGTCAACAAATCCTTCAGCTGATGCAGCACTGGAGTATGCAATATACAGAAAGTCAAAAGGTAGAGTTTATGGAGTTTCTGATGGAGAAACACATGCCTGTTGTGAATGAAACGAGGCAAATTGCTTCGGCAGTACAGTTCCTTTCATCCAGTGGAGGGTCTTCTAGTCTTAGGGCTTGTGATCTGTTCAGCCAAGACGATCCATTCCTGAGAGCCTTGTTCCTTGAAGAGGACAAATTCCCAGCAGAGAGGCATACACGAAAAGACAGACTCAGGAGAGGATTACAAGTAATTGGTCTTAAAACTGTGAAAGAAATCTCAGAAAGTGATGTTAGAACATCAGCAATGAAAATTGAGGAGCTTGTTAGCAGAGGAATGGATTCTGAAGCAGAGCTGAAAGTAACAGCATTCATCACGTTCCTCGAGAGGAGCATAGACAGAATGGACCCAATGAAACTATCTGATCTTCAGCATCAGAAATGCATTCCTTGTTTGCAGAAAAAAATATCCAGATATCCCAAGTCTCTCTCATGGAATGGAGAATCAGGGCCCTGTATCTCATCATCAGAAGAGGTTTTTAGTTCACGACACTCATCTATCATTGGGTCTGTTAGTCCAGTTGCAAAAGAAATGGCAGAAGCTGTTGAAAGAATTTTGGGACTTTATAGAGATCCACCAGTATGTTCAGTGATGGATCATCTTCATAATCTGGGGGCATCTTATGACAGTAGAGAATGTAATCCTTGTATGGAGTTACTAAAGGACATTTACAGCTTTTTTAATTCTCCAAATGTATCAATTGCAGAAGAGAAACACCAGATGGAGTCAACAAGATCTGTGTGGGTTGGAATAGAAGAAGGTTTCCAGTATCCACGGTCAGTGTATTTAGAAAGATCTGAAGCTGACCTGGACCTGAAGCCTTACAGATACCAACTACCATCTCTGTTGCATGACTGGTGTTCATTACTGAGTGACTGTGGCTGCCATCAGAGACAAACCCCTGACATGCTGACCTCTGTCCTGGAAGAAATAAAAGAAAAGCATGACGGATTCAGGTCTTCCAACTTAAAGAAACCAACAGATGTGCGACATGACTTAAATCTGGTTCTTCAGATACTGAATGAACTGCAAAAACACCCTCAAAGACATGAAGTGTTGGTGCCAGTGCACCAGGCTTCTGAGGATTACCTTCTCTTGTTGCCAGCAGACCAGTGCACCTACTGCAATGCCGATTGGCTGCAGGATCAGATGTCTGATGGTTCTGAGGTAGATGAAGAAGAGGAAATATTTTATGTTCATTCTAGCATATCAGAGCGGATTGCACAATTAATGGGAGTCTATTCCCTGACTGAACGTGTAATGGATGACACTGAAGACTTTGATGTGGAGTATCATCAGTCAGAGCCATTGACAAGACGACTGAAAAACATTCTCCATGAGTACACAGATGGTTTTTCTGTCCCGAAAGAGCTGATACAAAATGCAGATGATGCCCGCGCTACAGAAGTTTGTTTCATGTATGATGAGAGACAGAATCTGAATGCAAGAACATTCCTCATGAATGAGAACATGGCTGGTTTGCAAGGTCCAGCTCTCTGGGCCTACAATGATGCAAGTTTTACACAGAGTGACTTTAACAATTTAAAGCAACTGAGCGGAGCCACTAAAGAAGAAGACACAACAAAAGTGGGAAAGTTTGGTTTGGGCTTCAATTCTGTTTACAACCTAACTGATGTTCCAAGCTTCATCAGTGAAAATACTTTGGTGATATTTGACCCTCACAAATCATACTTAGGGAAACCTGGGCTGAAAGCAAACCTCAAAAGTGTAAAAAATCAGAGGATGTTGAGAAATATGAATGGACAATTAAAGCCGTTCGAGGGAATATTTGGTTGTCAAGTCATCAAAGATGGAAAACGTGACACTATATGTCATGGAACACTTTTCAGATTCCCTTTGAGGACACCAGAACAGGCTGCTACAAGTGAAATTAAAGATTTGTCCTACTCAAGGCATGAGATGGAGACATTTTTCAGAAAATTTGCAGAAGGATGTGGAAATCTTACCCTTTTCACACAGTATGTGTCATCAGTAAAGTTCTTCTATTTACCACGCAATGGAGACCCAAATACGCCAGAACTTCTCATTCATGTGACAAAAGCAATAACAGACCAACGAATTCTGTCACCTCCAAATTCTCTTCTTAATGAACTTACTGTGTTGGCATATGCAGCTCAGGAGTGGAACACCCAGTCAGGAGAGTGCCTCAAAATAACTGAAATAAGTGATGTCCAGCTTGAAATTTGTGACACAGACATGACAAGAACACAAAAGTTAAATCCAAGTGTGACCACCCAGTCATGGGTCATTACCTGGGTAACTGGTCAAAAAGAATCGGATAAGTTTGCACTGTCTGGAAAGCTCAAAGGATTGCTTCCATTAGCGGCTGTTGCAATTCCACTGACTTTGGAAGATGGAAGACAAGGTATCTGTGAAATGGCCAAATGTCCAGCAGGATTCTACAGAGAAGGACATTTCTTTTGCTTTTTACCTCTGCCGGTGCACATTCCGTTTCCAGTACATATCAATGCACCATTTGCTTTGACAACAGACAGAAAACAATTGTGTACACAAACTGAAGATGACAAGATGAACTATGAGGCTGAGTGGAATACAGCTCTGTTTAAAGATGCTACATGTAGAGCTTACATAGCTGGGCTGGAACAACTGGAGATCACAGACCCTTCAAGCGTTGGTCAGTATTATGGCTTGTGGCCTACAACACCACATGATAAACCTGACTGCATGGTACAAAGTTTCTATGAGCTTATAACAGCTGAGACACATTGTGTGTTTCCGCATGATGACAATGGTGCACTCGAATGGCTGTCATTTCAAGGAATGTATATTCTTGAACCAAAACTTTGTTGGAATGATGATATTGCAATGATGGCCTTCAAAGCAACATCTCACTTTCTAAAGTCCACAAATAGAAAAATCGTAGACCTTCCACTACAACTCTTCAAACAGTTTTGTCTGCCTGGACTGAAGTCGTGTGCTACTTCCAGGCTTATCACAACATCAGAGTTTTTCGAGACAATCTTCTTCCCAAATATAAATGACAGCTACTGGTCACCAACAGAGAGAGATAGTTTGGTATTGTTTGCTCTGACATATCAGAATGAAAGTGTTGAAGACCTCATAAGAACATCCAGATGTATTCCGACAGAGCCTTCAGGTACTCTGAAAATGCCATGTGAACTAATTCATCCACATAAGGAATGTGCAAGGATGTTTTCTAAAGAAGATGAATGCTTCCCAAGAGGATTTAGGTTTCGGGGAATCAACTTTTGTGACCAGCAGGTGGTAGGCATTTTATGTAAGCATGGAATGGTCCAAGATGAACTCCCATGGGAACTCCTTGTTGAGCGAGCCTTGTCGGTGGAGAAGCTAGAAAAACAGGATGCTAAAACAGCTCACGAGAGAAGTGGACAGATCTTAAAGTATCTTGGCAGTGGGATTCATCATGGGAAGAAATGTTATGTCACTTGTCCTGAAGCAATACAATTTCAATTACAAAACATCTCCTTTCTACCTGTTCAAAAACGTCCCTCAATCTGGCCTTTAAAGTGGAAAGCAGATGACATAGAAGGAAAACCATTTGCATGTCCAAGTGAACTTTATTTGAAGAGTGTGTCAAGCTTAGTGGCCTGTTCACAGTTAATTTTTGATGACTTTTTTTACCCTCATTTCAGAGTGGACATGGATGTTTTGGCTTGGCTTGGTGTGAAAGGAAAGGAAGATGCTGACCTGGCTGTAGCCTCAGAACAACTGCTCCTCGTTTCCAAATCTATAAATGCACTGACGGATGATTCTTCTTCCTATGAGCTTAAAAAATTGTGCAAAGACATATACAAATTTCTGAACAGAAAGTGTGGGGAAAGTGATGCCCAGATCGGGATAATACAGCAATGTTTACAACATCAAGAAACTGTGCTGGTAGGAAAACAGATGGTTGAACCAGAGCATGCTGCTTTTCATCTGCCAACTGATTTATCACCCTATCTGTATCAAGTTGATGAAGCAATAGTTGACAATAAGATGCTTTTACAGAGCATTGGGGTTAAAGACAAATTTGAAGTGTCTGACCTGCTACTTGTTGTGCAGGAAGTCTCCAGAGATACAGGTTCAAAAGAACTTTCAGAAGATCAGTTAAAATGGTTCGGAAGGACTACTCAGTATCTTTCAGAGTTTGACAAATCATGTTTTGATCAAGACAAGTTTGATGTTTCACTTCCAAATTGTGACAGAATTCTATCGAAAGCAACATCACTTTGCTTTGATGATTATGAATTTGTTAAAAATGAATCCATGAAGTTTGTTCATGCATGTGTACACCATGAGGCAGCCAAGCTGTTAGGTGTGAAGGGAAAGCGTGCTGTTCATCTGAAAGGACACATTTCTCACTTTTCATCTCCCTTTGGTCAAAGTGAAAAACTAACAACTCGATTGAAACGAATTCTGAGTGAATACCCACGTGACTCTTCAATCATGAAAGAGCTGCTGCAGAATGCTGATGACGCAGGAGCAACAGAACTGATGTTTATAAAGGATTTCAGACACCTGCCAAAAGAAAAAATCTTCTCTGACGAATGGGCTTCACTGCAAGGACCAGCACTGTGTGTCTACAATGACAGTTATTTTACAGAAGATGACCTTGAAGGTATTCAGAACTTAGGTGTAGGGAGTAAGAGTGAGGATCCTGTAAAGACTGGGCAGTATGGTGTTGGGTTCAATGCTGTTTATCATCTGACTGATGTTCCGTCTTTCATCACTGTTGGCCCTGGGATGGAAAAATCCATATGTGCCCTCGACCCTCATATGCGGTATCTAGAAGCCGGGGAAACTGGAATGAAAATATCACAGCTGGACAGGCTAAGAGACACTTATGCAGATAGCTTCTGTGGATATCTGGAAGATGTAGTCAAAACTGACACAAAAGGAACACTGTTCAGATTCCCTTTGAGGACACGTGAAATGGCAAAAAAGTCAGAGATCACCAAGAAAGAAGTCACTCCAAATGATGTCAACAAAATTTTACAGGAATTCAAGAATGATATGTTTGACTCGCTCTTATTCCTTCATAGTGTTAAGAAAATATCTATTGCCATTGTCAACACAGATGGTACTTTCAATGAAGAATACAGTGTTACAGCAACAATGAGTGAAGCAGATATGTCTGCACATAAGGGATTCCTTTCTCACTTGAGGAAACAGACAGCAAAGATAAGAGACCCTTCTGCCGGAATTGGCCTTGATGCTGTTTCTTCTTTGGAAGCTGAATTGTCTCTCAGTGTTGATGATTCAGAAGGGAACCATCAGGATTGGGTTGTGTTTCACCATTGTGGATTTTCTAAAGAAAAACCTATTCCAGAACCTGTAAATCAGGCCTGGGAGAATAGGAACATTTGTCTTTTACCACAAGGTGGTGTTGCAGTACAAATAACTACTGGAGGAAAAGGTGAGAAACCTGTCAGGGGGAAAGCATTTTGTACCCTGCCTCTGCCTATCAATACAGGGTTGCCTGTACATGTCAATGGACACTTTGCCTTGGATCACGAAGCAAGAAGAAACCTTTGGCATGGCAATGAAGACTACCGGTCAATCTGGAATCGCCATGTAGTTGATGCAATCATAATACCAGCCTATATGATGGCTATGCATTCACTGAAGAAGAGAACTGGAATTTTCGGGGAAAAGTCACTAAGATGTCAATATGAAAGTCTCGATCATTATTATAGTTTCTTTCCACACAGGACTTCAGAAACCACGGGAGTTTGGAATGATGTTGTTACTTCTTTCTACAAAGATGTCTTTCTTAACAAAAGAAAACTCTTTGGAATTGTCAAACCTGCAAATGGAATGTTTTCAGATTTCAGCCAGAACAAAAATGACAGCAACAAGAATCTTAAAAAGGAAGACATGACCTGTACGGTTTTGTGGGCTCCAACTGCAAGTGGCTATTTTAAAGTACTGGGTAGCTTTTTCACTCAAACTGATCAAGTCTCACAATCAGACACTGACAGAGACAAAGATTTGACTGTGTTATTTCCACAGATGCATGAACAGAAGCAGAAAAACGAGAGAGCATGGCAGCTTACTGAGATTCTTAAGGACTTGAACATGAATATCATAGATGTTCCATGGTCGATTTATGAAAATATCAAAGCCATTTGCACTGAAAGTGAGCTGAACGTTGTCACACCAGAAAGTGTTATGCAGTTCCTGAAATCGCACGTATCTGACACCAAAGATAGCTGTAATCTTGAATCTCTACCACAGGACCTAGAAGCCACATCCCTAAAGAGCATCAAATCACTAAAATTATTGACAGAATTCTGTGAAAAGCATGCAACATTTGGTTCTGAATTGCAATCTTTGCCACTTGCATTGACTGAATCACATCAACTGCATTGTTTTGATGCTGAAAATGCATTGTTTGTGACAATGTACACTGATCTATTTGTTAGAACACCTGATGAGGTGCTGGATAGAGGAATCAGTTTAATGTATACAAAATACCTCAAAGAATCAGACTGTATAAAAGATCTTGATGTCACCTCACTGGCATTATTGACTGAAAAGACATTTTCTAGAGACGTTTTGCACACTGGCAAACCAGTCCCATGGGAGGTCTCAGAAGATCTTCCGACCAAGAAATGGATCTTTCTATTTTGGAATATTTTGTCTCAGCAAATGTGCAGTATCAAGGATGAAGAGTCATTTGACACACAGACGTTTTTTGGCTGAACTTGAAGGCTGGTCACTGTTACCTGCTAACATTGAAGAGCAAGGGAAGAGCATTCTTTTTCTATATCCAATAAGGAAAGGCACATGTGTGATTGTTGATTCTAATTCACATGGTAAATGTGCAACTGCTTTGAAAAACATGAAAGTTCCAATACTTGAGATGGTCTTGTTTCATCCTTTTTCTGAGTTTTGTCAAAACATCATTAAGCAACCTCATCTCTAGCTGCCAAAATGGAGAATCCTGATGAAATACTAAAATTGTTATCAGACATTGATTTCAGTGACTCTCTTGATATTACAACAGAAGACAGCTTGGCTGTTTTGGAATACTTCAGTGTAAATATTGAAAAACTCAGTGACCTAATTTGTGAACAGCCTGCACAACAGTTACTTCGGAAACTTCCATTCTATCAGTCTATGTGTGGACAGCAAGTTGCTTTACAAGATGAAGTGTTAGCAATAGAACACTATGATTATGTACCATCTGATGGTTTCAGTGAATTGATCAGGGCCACTGGTAAAGAATTGATCAAGCAGCAAGTTCAATGCAAAAGCATTTATGAGAAACTGCACATAAAGACACTGACACAAGAGGAACTGTATGTTCATATCGTCCTTCCAAAATTTGAATGTATGCCAAGTTCAGCCCAACTTTCACATTTGGAATTCATACGTGATATCATATTACCCAGAGAATTCCAAATAAGTAGTGTACAGAAAGCACTGGAAGATGAGTTGAAAACATTGAGATTCATTGAAGTAGAGGAGGGCTTACGTCAATGTGCAAGTGAGTTTTATAGTCCTTATGAAGAGGTCTTCAAACAGATGTGTAGCACAGCTGAGTTTCCACCATCACCATATGATGAAGAAAAATGGAAAACCTTTTTGGAAATTGCTGGTTTGACGAAAGATGTTAGCATTGAACTTTATCTAACCTTTGCTAGAAAAGTTGAAGCCCTTGGTAGCAAAGGTATTACTAAAGACGTTATCAACAAGTCTAAAGTGTTGTCCTCATACTTAGCTGAGCACCATGGGAGATTTCAAGGACATCTGTCACAAATTGGAGAGATAAAGTTTGTGTTACCTCATACTGTTCGAAAAGAGCTGATAGATATACACCCTCAGCTGCATGAGGGCAAACGGCTGGTTGCCTACTGCGAATCACTCCATCCTAAGAACCACCACTGTGTTTGGACAAGCTGTTCAATGTTCCACAAGAGTGCAAGCCCGTCCCTATGGGAATGGATACCATACCAAGATGACTCCTCTGAGCTTGGCATTAGAGCAACACCGGAAGATGTAGATGTAACAAATCATTTACAAAACATATGCAGCTCTTTTAAAGAACTTCAGAACCAGAATTCTGTTTCCAAGCTATGCCATATCATTGAAAGTGTCATGAAATCTATTTATGAACACTTTAAAAAGTCAGAAATCAATGACAGGATGATGCGTCAGCTTCAAGACTTTTGCACAGTCTATATTCCAGAAGAGAAATGTATGGTTCCAGCTTCAGAAGTTGTCACAGACATCGAGTCTTTTCAGATTGTGGAAGGATATGTTTATGCAATACCATGTGCATTACGAAAATTTCGTCAAGTTCTCCTGGGTCTTGGTGCTTCTGAAAAGGCACATGCTAACCTGTATGCATGTGTGCTGGAGAAACTGTCCAAAAAGACACAATCACTGAAAGACGAAGATCTGCGTACAGCAAAGAAGGCCATTACCCTAATGTTTGAATTTATCGAAAAGGAAAACGAAGACGATTCTCCCACATTAGACGTACCAACATTGTATCTACCAGATGCAAACTGGAGACTAACAGACTCCAGCCAGCTGGTCTTCATTGATAATGATTCTTTCTTAGAAAGAGTTCAATCTCTTGATTTGCAGTATTACTTGGGATTTGAGCAGTTTCCACATTCGAACAAGGGTCCACAAAGTCACATTAACTTGCTACCAGAGTGCTATCAGCTGAAGATGCTGTCATCTTTAGTCCAAGAATTTGTCACTGATGAAAGCAAATTGAAAGCATGTCCTCGTGATTTATCTCAGAAATATCTTGACATAATACGTGATCCAGATTTTGTTAGTGCCATTGTGAGACTGGTCAATCACACAAAGGTTTCAGATCGCAAACGAAGTCTGTACCAAACTGAAGCAAGGACAACTGAAGAACAGTTGAGGAAGCTGGAAATCCATGAAGTTGAGAACCTACAAACAGAACTTAGACAGAATGATGGTAGTCAAGTACCTCATAGCGAAAAGAAAAAGAGCTGGATGAAAGAACACTTCAATGCAAAAGTATACCTATTCATTGACAATGACATTAACACAGAGGAGTTATGTGCTGGCTTGACATCAACAATTTATTCTTTGACTTCAGAGGGAGAGATTTCAAGATTTCACATAAATCATTTGTTAAAATCTGACCCAGAAACATACAAGGAGTATTTGGATGAACAGAGTGTAAGGACATATAATTATGAATGCCAACTAAGAGAGGACTATTCGTTTCCTATTCCTGGGAGATCAATCCCAGAAGATATGCACTGGCGTCTGGACAACAGATTCCATGACTTTGATGAATGGGAGTATGTAGGACTGGAGGTTTATGACCCTGTCGTTGACACCGATACTCCTGATGAAGAGGGCAAACCTGAGTATGTCTATGCACTTGTAAAGAGAATCCTGTCAAAGGAAACTTTATTGGTCAGAGGGCAATATGAGGTTGCACTTGGGAATGGACATCTTGAGACTATATGTGGTTCAAGGATGTACAAAATTAAGAGTGAAAACACTGCAATAGTAGAACTATCTCAACATGAACTACCAGAGGTGAAACCTAGAGACCTGAATACAGTGTTGAAGGAAATCAGAAATATTCTGACAGAAACTAGGAGAACAAGTACTAGTATGGAGGAAAGAAGAAGGGTAAAGAAAAGATTGTACTTGGCTTGGCATCCAGACAAGAACATTGGAAATGAAGATTTCTGTACAAAAGTATGTCACTATATTCAGTCATACGTGACGAAACTTGAAAAAGGGCAGAGCATAACTGAAGGTGGTGACGTCCCTGCAGATGACGCAGACTCAAGTTTCTTTGAACATATGAGGAAGAGAAGTTCACATCAAAGGTCTCAGTACCAACAACACCAAGACCAAAGGGACACATCCTACAATCGCCACCACTCTGCTCATCCTCAACCAGAGGAAGCAACACGGTGGCTCAGACAGGCAACATATGACTTGAGGTCAGCCAGGGACACTCTCCAACTTGGTAGAGACTATAACTGGGTGTCCTTCAAAGCTCTCAAGGTAAGCTGATTTAATAGACTAATTTATAAGATGTTTATTTCTTGCTTAACGCCGCACTCAACAATACTTCAGCTCTATGGTGGCAGTCTGTAAATAACTCTGGACCAGACAATCCAGTGATCAACATCATGAGCATCGATCAACATAACTGGGATACAATGACATGTGTCAGCTAGGTCAGCAATTCTGTTCATTGCTTCTAGCAATAATCATGGGTTACTGAAGATCAATTTTAACCCAGGTCTTCACATGTATTCATAAACTAATATGGATGTTTTCATCGAATCTGTAATGAAATGCTGGATTTGATCAATGATGTCATTCAAGGTAACAGAAAAAAATTGGAGGCAATAACTACAACATGTCAGTTCTGTATGAATCATGTGAAATCTGTTTCAATGAAGCTAAATTCTAATTTTTAACAAGTACCTTGAAGAAACACGGTAAAGACAGTGGTCACAAACAAACTTTGATACTGTTGCTGCAATAAGTTATATTTGTAATAGTTGCCATGCTGTGTATCGCTTACGTTACCTTGTGATTCTGCATATCAGATTTTAAGTTTTAGGCACTTTCAAAAGGTGACCTGTTAGTGTTGAAAATGAATCTAGATATTTGTGCTCAAGTGACCCTTGTCTCCACTTGGTGGTCAGAGGTTCAATCTGTGTGTTCCAGGCAGCAGAGAAGGCTGTCATATCAGCCTGGTACAACAGGGATGCCCGCAAGGCACAGAGTCAATGGAAAAAGGGCATCATAAAAGCAGCTAGCAGGCTGGGAAATGTCCGTTTGTCTGAGCTTGTGACTCAGCTACAAAATGTCGTAGGTGACGATGACAGAATGCTATTTCCATATAGACTTGCCTGTCCAAATACACCAGCTGATGTGTACACTGAGAATACAGCGAGACAAGCATGTGAACTTGCAGAACGTGTTCTCAATCTCGCAGAAGATATGTAAGGTGAGATTCTATATTGATGCACAAATATAACCCCTTATATTAATATACCATATTAGCGTTGCAGATGGACATTGGTAATTTTGATTCACATCTCAGTCAAATGTGCTCCATCAGTAGAAAAAAGTATGCACACTCACCACCGTTGCTGTATCAAGACAAATATCAAAGTTATGTAGCATACAGTTTAATTTTACATGTTCTCTACACGGCAGTATTATGTTCCAGACTGCAGAGAAAACTGTGATGTTAGTCTCGTACTACAGATATGACGACAAGGAAGACAAGTTACCATGTACAGAACCTATTTAGCACAGAGGTAGATCTGATCAATTCCTTTTCTCTGAGGTGGTAACTTCGGCAAAATGTCTGGATAAACTGAGCTCAAAATTCCTGATAAAATATACACAGAGAGAATTTAAAGTTGCAGAAAGTATTCTTGATGTGGTGAGAGAGTTCTTGGGTCAGATTAACATTTTGTACATATCTCTTGATTTGATAAAGTTAATACATTTTGCTTTTTTAATAATATGTGTGAATATTTCAGAATCTGCAAATATTGTATTTTGTGTATAGAAGTAGATTGCAATATTTCTTGCTTCATTAAATTGATCAACTGTATTGATAAATTTAGTGAACTTGAGTAAACATTGCAAAATGTGTCCATATTTCAGGTTTGCAAATATTGTATTTTATGTTCAGAAACATATTTTCAATGTGTATGTAAATGAAGTTTTGAAAAATGTATCAAGTGTGTAAATATATGTACAGGAAATTTAATGAAATGTTTACAATGTTTAGATAATAAAGAACTTGGAAACATTACATATTGTATATAGTAAGGAATTGACTTTGACATATGACAAAATGTTTCTTCACAAGAAAAACCTCTTGAATTACATGAAACAATGTGTACATATTTTAGTGGATCAGACATTTACAATGTGTTTGTATTTGAAGATTTAGGTAAGAGTTGGATCAAACTGAACATGTTCTGAAAAACAAATTATAGACTTTTGTCAATAGAAATATGAAATGATGCACCAAATGCAAATAGTTCTTGCGTCATTAAATTGATCAGATGTATGAACCAATTTAAGGACTTTAAGTAAACATTGCAAAATTTGTTTACATTTCAGGTTTGCAAATATTGTATATTACATAAAGTAAAAAAGAGATAATTTGACATAGTTACAATGTGTCTGTAATTGAATATTTGAAAAATGTATATTGAGCGTAATATTAAAGAGCGAAACTTAAATAAATGTTTACAATGTCTAGATAATTGAGAATTTGGAAACATTGTATATTTTGTACAGTAATAAATTGGCTTTAACAAAATGTATCTTGTGTTAAACTAACAGTTAAGACTTGAATTTAATTCAGCAATGTGTACATATTTCATGTTTTGAAAAAAATCAAGTTGATAGAATAGAATATTCATATTTTGTATGCTTTTGAAGGCATATCTTGTCAATATAAAAAGAAGCGATAACCCGTATTCAACCACTTGTACATATTTGTTGATTTGTTGAATACATTGTGCATATTGATAAAAATGTGTGTGTTTCAAAATCTGCAAACATTGTATTTTGTGTATAGAAGTAGATTAGAACTGACTCAAACATTTACAATGTGTGTGTGTGTATTTGAAGACACATGGATCATGTGTATTGATGAATGGAATTGAATGTGTAGATATTTGAGAATTTTAGAAAAAGACATGAATTGGATTTAATATTTGATTGTATATACATATTGTTCAGAATTTAAAATACAGATATCTTGCTTTTGTATATAGAAGTAGATTAGGACTGAATCAAACGTTTACAATGTGTATGTATATGAAGACACATCTTTTCAATAGAAATGGAAATAATTTCCCAATGTTTTCAGATTTTGTAAACACATCAAGTTAAATGATAAAATAATGAACTTTGTTAAACATTACAACATGTGTGTATATGTCAAGTTGTGTTAATATTGTATTTTGTTTATGGAAAAATAGGAGGAACAATGTGTGTGTGTGTGTGTGTGTGTGTGTGTGTACATATCGTTAAACAAATTACAAACAAATATCTTGTGTACAATATAAACAATATGTATGTATTTTAGGATTAAAAGAAAGTGCATCTTGTGTGGAAATATAAAGAGGAACTGAAAACACAGTTTGTACACATTTAAGGATTTGCAAATAATTCATCTTGTGTGTTGAATAATTGACATAAACATTCAGCAATATGTATGCATTTCAGGATTGTAAACATGCATCTTGTGTATAAAATTAGAAAGAAATGGCACTAAACATTTAACAATGTGTACATAATTCAGGATTTAAGAAATATATAGATTGTAACTGAAATATTTCTAAATGTGTAAATAATATTAATATTATAATATATATATATAAAAAACTAGTTTTATTTAAACATTTAACCGTTTACATATTTCTGGATTTGAATAATGTAGAAAAAGGCTTTGTGTGTGGAAATAGGAAAGATTTGAATTCAAATTCAGCAATGTGTACGTGTTTCATGTTTAAAAAAGGTCATCTAGTTGATTGAAACAGAAATAATCAACCACTTGTACATATTTGTTGATTTGTTGAATACATTGTGCATATTGATGAAATGTGTGTATAATTCAGAATGTGCAAAATGTGTATTTTGCATATAGTAGTAGATTACATCTGAATCAAGCATTTACAATTTGTACGCATTTCAAGACACATCATTTCTATAGGAATGGAAATGATCAGCAATTTCAATATTTCCTGCTTTTATAAATGCATCATGTTTATTGATTAATTTAATGAACTTGATTAAACATTGTAACTTGTGTGTATTTCAGGTTTTGTTCACATTGTATTTTGTTTATGGGAAAATATGAGAAACTGAAACAAGCATTTACAATGTGTGTATGTAGTTGAAGATATGTAAAACAAATATCTGAGTATGTAAATATAGAAGAATTGAATTGAAGATGTACAATGTGTAGATAGATATTTGAGAATTTGCAAACATTACCTTTTAGAAGTAGACATGGATTGGATTTAACATTTGATTGTATATACATACATATAATTCAGAATTCAAAATACAGATATCTTGTTAGCCTTGCTCCAGGAGGCTGTACTGAGAACTAAGCCCATGGATGTATTGTAATTATTCTATTCTATTAAAGAGGCAAGTCTAGATAAGTGGAAAGGACCCCAGTCTGGTATTTAAATTTTTAGAAGTTATTATTCAAACTATTAACTATTACCATAAATGCTTCTGAAAGTCTAATATGTTGTGTAAAATGCATATGACTTGAATTAAATAAACAATGTGTATGTATTTCAGGATAAGGAAAAAATGTGTCTAGTGTGGAAATATAAAGAGGAACTGAATTAAAACAGTGTGTACATATTTTGAGGATTTGCTAATATTTTTATCTTCTGTGTAGAATAATTGAAATAAACATATATCAATGTGTAAGCATTTCAGGATTGTAAAAATGCATCTTGTGTCTAAAGTTAGATAGAAATTGCTTAAACATTTAACAATGTGTACATAATTCAGGATTTAAGAAATGTAAAGATAGTAACTGAAACTTTGCATGTATCATGTGTATGGAATTAGATAGGAATTTATTTAAACATGTAACCATTTTCATATTTCTGGATTTGAATAAGGCCTTGTTTGTAGAAATAGTTGGTAGAAACAGAAATAGTCAACCACGTGTACATATTTGTTGATTTGTTAAGTGCATTGTGCCTATTGATGAAAATGTGTGTATATTAATGTGCAAATTGTGTACTTTGTGCACAAAAGAAGATTACATCTGACTCAAACATTGACAGTTTCTATGTATTTGAAGACACATAGATCTTGTGTATTGATAAATTTAATGAACTGTAAATGTGTGTATATTTTAGGATGTGCAAATAGTGTAGTTTGTGCATAGAAATAGATTAGAACTGAATCAAACATTTACACTGTCTATGTACAGACTGTATATGAAGACACGTAGATTAACTGCATTGGTAAAATTAATGAACTTGATGTAACACTGCAAATGTGTGTAGATTTCGGGATGTGCAAACATTTTTATTTGTATATAGAAGAAGATTGGGATAGAATGAAATATTTAAAATTTGAATGAATATGTGGGGCATGGTGGGCGGGCTGGCTAAGGCGCCAGACTAGTGATCCAGGAAGCTCGAAGTGTCGGGATCGAGCCCACCTGTGACCGGGTGTGAAAACCTTGGAGCCAACTTTGTGGGCAGGCTGTTTCAGTGTTGTCACAACCCCTAGTGTACCCTATGCACTTAAAAGAAACCACGAATCCGTTGGTATATGACCAGATGGAGGCCACATGAATACATGCAAACACCCTAGTTGCCCGGGTACAGCAACGTGCAGTGAACTTGGACAAAGTACTGTGACTATGTGTCCTAGTCCACCCAGCTGTGAATGGGTATCTCTTAAGGATGAGAAAGCCGCAATAAATCGATGCGTCCAGTCGCTGAAAGAGTTGTATACTCCCCGCGGGGAGTTGAGATTGATAATACGATGTGCCTTTGAGATTGACATCCAGTGATCGAGGGGAATAATGTCAGTGTCTTGAGCATGTACTAGTTGCGTGGATATGTGCGCTATGTAAATATCCTAGAATAATAAATAGAAAAAGAAGTGATTAACCATTTTCAGTATTTCTTGATTTGTTATCTACGTCATGTGAAAATTAAGAAACATAATGAACTTGATTGAACATTGCTAAATGTGTGTATATTTCATGTATTGTTAATATTGTGTTTTGTTTATGGAAAAATGGGAATAAATGAATCAAGCATTTACAATGCGTATGTAATTAAAGATGAAAAAAATTATCTATTGTGTAATAAATAAAGGGAAATTGAATAGAACATGTACAATATGTAGATATTTCGGAATTTGCAATCATTAACTTTTGTGCACAGATATGAACTGGATTTTGCATTTGACTGTACATATTTGTAGAGTATACAAAATATATCTTGTGTAAAATAGGAGTTATGAATCGAATTAAATTCATGTCAGGATGGGAAAAATGTGTATACAATGTGTAGCAATGTGTTTGCGTTTAAGGGTTGTGAAAAATATATCTTGTGTAAAAAATTTGAGAATAACTTTGCACTAAGTAATAAACATTGTGTACATAATTCAGGATTTAAGAGATGTAAAGATCTGCAACTCAATATCATTATTGAATTGCAAATATTTATTGAATTTAACTCAATGTGTATGACACATATTTGAGGATTCCAAAATATGTTTTCTTATATGATCTGTACTTTACAAAGAAAGTTTAATCCCAAATATAGCATATGTTATATATGTATCCTGTGTTTAGAAATAGATAGAGTTTTACTAAATCATTTTACCAGATTTTACACATTTCTGAATTTCAAAACATTTGAAAATAATGTACAAAATACGGTGAAAACTATATTAAAATTCAGCGGTAATTGCATGTTTTGAAAAAATCGTTATCTTCTCATAATTTCTATTTTTTCTATTTCTGTTTAATACATTATGTGTATTGATGAAAATATTACTTATATATTCCAAAAGTCTATTTTCGGATGAGACACTACGTCTCATTTGTAAATATAGAGAGGATTACGTTTTATGTACAGAATTGAATTAAACATATTACATGTGTATGTATTTTAGATTAGCAAAATGCATCTCGTACGTAATTACATATAGAGGAATTGAATTACATTCTAAAATTAGTACATCTTACATTATTTAATATTGTACATAGATGTAAATAAGATTGGAACTCAACATTCAACTAATTGTACTTTTTTCAGAATTTTTTTTTTAACTCAACATTCAACTAATTGTCCTTTTTGAAATGTATCATGCTTATAAAACACACAAAACTTGAATATAAATTCCATCAGTGCTTAAATATTTCCTGTTTGAAAATTACCATGTTATGCATAGAAATAGAGTGGAATAGAAAGAAACGTACAATATACCAGAGATGAAAAAAATATCTAATGTGTAAATATAAAGAAGAATTTGCAAACATTGTGTTGTGTGATGTGGAGGTGTTGAACATTTTAACAAAATGCGAAATATCATTAACTAAATGCTAAATGTATCTTGTGTATATAGGTAAACCATACTTGA